TCCAACTCCTCAACATCAATTTTAAGTTTTAATTAGTTGATTATCTTGTCTGTGCCATGTGCCCCTTTGCCTCATATACAGCACCTCGTATCCTCTGAGGTAAAAGACTACTCTCCATTTCAAACAAATGACTGTCAGCTGCTGAAGGGCCCAATGTTTGTGTAGACATTGACTGGTTTATGGTCCTGAGCGCTGTCTTTATTTCTGAGCTCAGGTGGTCAGCAGACTCTCTGACTCACTGCCTTATGGTCAGTTTGACCTTTCCAGGGTCATATAGAAGCATTTACGACTGTCTCCGCTGTTTGTTTTGGAGTCGGGTGGTTGAGAGGACTGCTGTTTGGAGGCAGGAGGATTAAGCTAATGGCACCTTGCTGACTCCTCCATGTCTATGTGCTAATGGATGTAGAGGGGATCCATAAAGCACACACTGAAACAAGCCAGCAGAGTGATGAGATCGTGTCATGTGGGTGTAGCCCAGCCTCTTGTGGAGAACTTTGAGCTCTAATCCAATCAAACAGCTCGCTCTTTGATGTTGCCAAACCTGCTCTCACGTCAGTGTCGCTACCCTCTGACAGCATCAGGGCTCATGCTGTAAAACCTGGTTGATGTGAACAAAGGCTGAGCCTGTTAGCTTTTGGATCATCCCTCTCTCCAGGGGTGTAATCTAGGGGTGGGATGGGAGATGCATGCCTGCAGTTTTGATGAGAAGCGGTTTTGTGCTCTTGGTGTTGGAAAGGTTGAATCCTGAAAAGATTTTAGCCACATGCATTTACACTTGGTACTCAAATGGGTCTCCGGTTAGTCAGATGAAATGTGATTGCTGTGGGACAGTATATGCAAATCTGCTCCTTACATGGCAACCAGTTACCAACTGTTCATCCATTCAGTCTCTTCATCTGTAGGTTGTTTTGCGCAGTAGTGTCTGTCCATATTAAACATTTTGTACCGTCTGGTCCCCAATTGTGCATTCTCCATGATTATCTTTCTTATTGACATGGCTACTGCATGGGGAGGAGTTTCGGTTGTACTGGGAGAGGTTTTGGTAGTCGAATGTGTCTTGCAGAAATGGATGTGTTTACACTGCTGTAATGTGACTCAAATGCATCTCAGACCACCTCCTGAAGTGATTTGAGGGATCAGCTTTGTATCTGTTTTAAATGCATCTTGGTTGCATTTGCACTTGAATTCTTATGTGGCTTGGCCTTATCCAGATACAATCTTGATACTCAAGATGCATAAAGTGACCGGGTGTAAACAGGGTCATTGAGATACATTGTGTGTGGGTGTTGTGGAAAAAAAAAAAGACGTTCTAACTTTGGATGTAGGAAGTGCCAGTACTGTTTGTGTATTTGAACTTGTGTCTGTCTGAAGTTGGAAGTTGTCCTATATCATTATTAACAGTTACAGTTGGATGTTATAGAAAAAGTTTATCTATGGCTAATTAATTACTATTCCAGGGCAGCATTAGGTCACTAAGCACCACTATGTGACCATTAAGTGCACCAGAATGTGAACTAAAATGGTACATAGATGCTAGTATATTTTTAAAGAGTTTGCTAAGGTAATGTTAGCAAGCTAGATAGATAATGCTAACATTATTAGCATCTAGGCTAGCACTGTCCCATTTCTATCCCTCTTAATCATGAATTAATAGATTTCCTGGCCTTGTTTGTTGTTCGTTTTCTCTGCGCTGCCCAACCTTTTCAATGCCCCCCCACCACTTCATTGCGAGCGTGGACAGCAGGCATGTTGCCACCCAATGATAATGTGTAATCACACGTTTTACAGGAGCTAATGGCCGAATTAATTTCCCCCCTCACAGATGCGTGGTAATGACCAAGTGATTTGTTGTTTATTTTTCACAGGATTCAGTTGCCTTTTAGAGGAGACACAGCTGAGGCTGGTCCGCAAATGGCCGCAAATGAGGGAACTGCTAAGACGCCAGCGATCCCCTCAACCTAATCTGTCAGTACTCAACCCAATTTCACAGCCAAAACATCCAGCCAACAGAGTTCCGTTTTTCCCCTCTAACGTCTTGGCTCGAACTTTATGGTGATTTCGTTTTTAGCTGATAAGAAGCTTGATGGCTGTCGTAGAGAAGAAGCCACTTTTTCCCTATTACCGTTTAAAATGCCAGTAAATGTCAGAGGATTTAAATGATGCATGTCCTTAGTGAATGGACATGATAAGTTGGCACTTGGCATATTCAACAGCTCGTCTTCAATTCCGTCTAGAAACTATGTGTTGTTACAGTAGGTATGATAAAGCTGGTCTTTGGGACGTATTTTGGTGGAACTATTTAGACGTAATAGATGTAACTATGTAAACTTAAAGTTAAGATAAATAAATGAGAATTGAAAAAAGGTGAATGTTACTTAAGAGTGGTAGATTTACAATGTTAGGTTAGCAGGAAGGTAACAATCATGACGTCTATTTAGCTGAAGTTTAAAACCTCAAACACTTAATCAGTAAATTAGTCTGACATGATTTGTGTTTCTTTGCCAGCAGTGAATATTGAGTCTGTGGCTATTTTGTACAGTAGCTATGTTAAAGTCATTTCAATCAGTGGGTAAGACTGTAAGATCAACTGTACATTTGCATTAGTGCTTGAAAAAAGTCAGCTTAGAGGAGGAAATCATGCACGCATTCATGCAGCAGTGGACTGGAACAACGGGTTACCGACAAAGGCCCACACCACACAAGCCAATGATCCATTTAATTTATAAAGCCTCGGTTCCACTGCCTCACAAATGAACATGACGGCCTTTGAGCTTTTTCAGTGCTACATATGCATATAGGAATGGGAAATTAAATGGAGTATGGATAATACAATTGATTTTAATGGCTGCATAGAACAACAGAACAGGGATGTTCCACCATGATGTCTCAGCCACTCTCATTCAGGTCCATTTGTTCGTTATGGGGAGTGATTTAGCTGCGTTTTAATGAAGGCTGATTGGCAACGTGTCTGAGCGCCCATTATCATCAGCGGGCTGCTTCTCACTGCAATCTACAATTATGGGCACATTTAGGCAGGAAGGCTCGGAGGCTTAAATATGCTATCAGCAGTGACTGCCGCTCTGCCACCTGTACATGCCCATGCACCAGACCGCGTCCTCTATCCTTCAGTGCACGCTGTCTGTCAGTCATCCCTCCCCTCAATTAGCCTCTCTGCCTTAACACATTCACTTTCTCTCCTTTTGCATTTTTCTTTGTTCTTTTTTCTCTTTCCCCTTTTCTTTTCTCTTTTTTTTACTTAGTCTGTCTCTCTTCCATTCGTCTTTTGTTTTACTTTCACTTATTGTACCCCTTACTCTCTGTTCCTTTCTTTCTGTATGAATTACTTCATATGTTTTCATTTCTTTCTTTCTTTCTTTCTTTCTTTCTTTCTTTCACTTACACTCTTTCTCTTTCCCTTCTATCTCTCTTTTTCTTTTTCTTTTTTCTTTCTTATTTGTTTCATGTACGCGCTTTCTCTATCTCTTTCCCTTCTCCCTCTCTCTCTCACTCCCTGTCTCTGTTCCCCTTTCTTTCTGTTTTCTCTTTGTTTCACTTACTCTCTTACTCTTACTCTCCTTGTCTTACCCTCTGTATAAATCACCATGTTTTTCTTATTCTTTCTTTCTTTCTTTCTTGCTTTCTTTCTTTCTTTCTTTCTTTCTCTCTTTTCTCTTTCTCTCTGTTCTCTCTCTCTCCGTTCTCTCTCTCTCTCTCTCTCTCTCTCTCTCTCTCTCTCTCTCTCTCTTTCTCTCTCTCTCTTTATCTCTCTTTCTCTATCTCTCTCTGTCTCTCTCTGTCTGTCTCTCTCTCTCTCTCTCTCCCCCTCTCTCTCTCTCTCTCTCTCTCTCTCTCTCTCTCTCTCTCTCTGTATAAATCAGCGGTATTATCTGACTGGATGTCGTATCATAATGAGGGGATTGGCAGTGACGGCCCGTGTGCGTGTGGGTGCTGATAAAAAAAGCGTGGTTGATTAACAGAGAGAAGTGCATTGATTCCTATTGACAGGCGCTCTCCCAGCGCTTAATGAAAGGGATGCAAATGAACGCTCCTGTGGTGCTATGCTGGAGCACTCAAGGCGGGGAGATGGCCCTCTGACTGCTGAAGGCAGTCTTAAGGGCCACATGTATCATTGGACATGGTGCACTGGGGACTCCTTTAGCGAGACATTTAGACCACTTCATGGCCTCAGGGAGCCAGAGAATGCAGACCATGCATGGAGAAAGAAATGGACTGTGTCCATACATGTAGTTTAGCGTAATGGACAGAGATTTGGGGAATGCTGCCATGAATAAAGCTTGTACTATCGATTTAGGCATAAAAGGCATGAGAGCACTGTGCATTCAGAAACATATTTTTAAAGGAGAATTGTATTGTTGTATATGTTAGTCTGTTGAAGGCATTTTGTGTATATTGTTTGTCTAGGACTGTGAGAAAGGAAGTTATTGACTTGTATAGGTGATTGTTGGCAGAGTTGTTGATTATTGTAATTTATTTTTTCTGTTTAGTTGGGAAAGATCAGACAGACAGACAGACGGGATAGGGCGGAGCAATTTACTCCAGCTTACCTGTAGGAGTCATTGGATTTCTATATAATATCCTCCTTTGCTTTTTGTTTTCTTAATAAATATTTACATCTTTAAATTAATTTCTGACACATCAACTGATTTGTTCCCTTCCACAAAGACAGTTAGTCACTACTACTATATGTGTTGTATATATTGAGATGCATTTTTCCTTGTAAATGTAATGTATAATCATATAATATTCATGTGGTCAGTAGGTCTGTCTAGTATTGTTGTAATACACCAGAGACAAAGCGTTAAGTAGATAAGCTACTTTATTGTCTCTGCAGTCTACTCTCCTCTATCGATTGCCCTGTCTAGCTCCCGTTCCTTTCAGGGTAAAGTCCGAGCAGCCGGTGACATTAGCATGCATGCAAACAAGGATGTATGACCATCTTTCCTTTTTTCCCCCTTCTTTCACCCTCTCCTTTCCCATAGCAACAGACTGGCGCCTAGCAACCACGACCGGATACAGCGGCTGAGGCAGGAGTTCCAGCAGGCCAAGCAGGAGGAGGAGCCCGACGACCGTCGCCGTACCTACAGCTTCCAGCAGCAGCCATGGGTGAGTGCGCAATATGCTTCCAGCTGATCACCTGGCTCACTGATCCATTCAGACAGTAACAGCCTAGCCTTTCTTAGCCTCAACAGCCCTGCTGCTGCTCTATCCATGCTCCTTCCAAAGCTATGAAGCATAGAGCATCCTAGCTGTGAAACTGCTGTCTGACTTTGGTTCAAGGGAAATTCTGATCTCTGATCCCAGCTCCGCCAACAGCACCAATTTTCGAATCCAAATCCAACCTTAATCCAACAAAAGCTCAGAATCCAACCCAAACTGAACCCCTAGCAACTGGAGACTGAATAAAAAAACACATTTCAGCCCATAGCAACAGTAATAGCCGTTATCATTATTAACCTACTTGTCAGCTTTCCACATTGTAGAAATGAAAGCTAGGGTAAATGCGAGAAACTATGAGAAACCTGAAGGTGAAATTTGAACGTGAACTGAGTTCGACAAACATTGGAAGAATAACATCCAAACACCATCTAGTTTAGAGCCTGACTCATATATATTGGCAGATAATATCAGTCAAAGTTGATTTTATAGGCATCGGCAACAATAATTAGCAACTTTTGTTGGTTGCTCCATCACTAGGATTGAACCCATGATCTCTTCATAGTAGGGTGAAACCTTGGGAACAGTGCTGCAATGCTTTTATGACTTAAAACTGCCTATTACATTCTGAGGAGTATTGTTCAGTGATTGCATAGAAAGGAAGGCAAACTAGATGAATTATGCTTAAAGAGAAACTTATTTTTCACATGTAAATGAAATAATTCAGGGTAGTTTCTTGTGAAATGCTTCATGCTGAAACCTGCCAGGGGTCAGAATTTGGTGGGATCAGAACCAGATATCTGAAATATTAAAGGCCTCTAAAAGCTACACAGAATCACAGAATGTTATTACAGGAAATGTTTGCTGATAATTTTTTTTTTTATTTTCCACTATTTAACCATTATAAACATTACAATATTAAAACTCAGAAGATGTTTTTCACTTGTGCTGGTTCACTGAGAAAGATGCATAGAAAATGGCTGTATTTGCATTGTAGATATTGTGACTCCTGATTTCTATCACCACCATTGTAAAGAAATCACAGCATGTAAGTTTCACATCAAACTGCTTTGAATGATTTGTTTAAATTTTAACTGTTAAATTTTGTGGGGATGTAATAAGTTATAGGAGTAAGGAATACAAACGTGGAACTGACAATGATCCTATGGCATTTAATAGGTTAAAAACATGACCAATGAGAACTGATAGTCATTTTTTCACAATTCACAGCTGATAATGATATCAATACATCACTGTTTAACTAAAGGTAGAGTTTAAAATAGAAATATAAAACATAAAGTTAAATTATATTGACAGTAATATTGGCTGTTGGAAAATTGATATTGGTCAAAAAATTTTAATCAGTTGGACGCCACCCAAACTAGTTTGAACAATCTGGTCCCATCTGGATTATAAGCTTTTAGATGCATATTCAGTAATCATGAAAAGCACTGGCCAGTTCAGTTAGACTTAAATGGCAGGGTCTGTGATGTGTCTTGTGGAAAGTTTTGTAGTCTATGAAAACACACACACACACACACACAGATACACACACACACACACTCACACATTTACCCTTGTCTACATTTCAGTTTACAGTCTGATTGAAGTCTTGGGTGCAGCAGTGTTATATAGCTGTGACTTGACTTGTTAATTGCTTTCTGACACTGCTTTGTGCATTCAGGTAATTATGCAGGTGAGTGTTGGATGTACCCATTACATTTAATTCTCAAGAATATCTCAGGCCTTTTTTTCATTCTGTGTTGAAAAAAAAATGTTACAACAATAGTGCTCAGAAATCCTCCAAAGGGAGCACGACCCAGGCCCGGCCTCGTGCTACACAAATGTTGCTCACTTTATTTACATGTCTTAAGAAACCCCATTTATTCATCAGCCCTACATTCAGCAGTGTATGTTTTAACACTATGCCCTTGTTCCCTCCTGCTTCATTTGTATTCGGAGGTTAGAGGTTAGACATTATTTTAACGTTATCTGTGAGATAAAACAATATACACAGCTCAGGGAGCTGGGAACTGACTCGCAAGGGGTCAAAGGTCACATAGCTGTGTATCCTGGTGCTGTAAGGGCTCGAATCAGACATGGCGGTCTGTCCTGCCACTTTCTGTTCTCAAGGCACAGGGGGGATTTTAAAGGATGACAGGCTAATTACCTTGAGGAATAGAACCATTTCCTAAATTGGGGGTCAGTTCACTGACCCTCCTCACTTGGATACATATTTGGCCTTCATTTTCCCTCCCTGGACGTGAATTCCTAGATATTTCAGCAGGGACGGTCCCTTTGAAAGGAGCCTCTCTCATGTTAAGTTTCTCTGAGAGGGCAGCACTGAGACGACTGCATAGCTAGAAAAACTACACTTAATCGTTTCCCTTTCTCACAAAAACCTTTTCTCTGTATTTGTTTAAACTAGAATGCATGGAGCGGCCCAAAATTAAATTCTCTCATCACGTCACTGACATATAATTGAGGCAGTGAAAATGTCTCTATTTTTGGAAGGAATTTCCTCGCAGAGCCTTGGCTGTCTGTCTTTTCTTTTGGTTAAATATTCCAAGACATGTCTACATATGTATTTCATGATTTACCTGTTAGTGAATGCTGAAAAGCAGAACATGCTCAAACTCATGTTGTTCAAAGGGATCTAGGCTTTATTTTTCATACTGTATTTTTATCCCCTACGGTATTTCACTGTTGTTGGGACAAAACCTTGTATCTTCAAAATGATAACTTTACGAGAGAAGGAAAAAAACATACTTTACTTTTAAAGTAAGTCAATAGAACCAGAATTTGTTTCCAAGTCAAAAATGAAGATACTTTTTGTTCTGACAGCAGCAACTGACTACAAAAAAAAAATACTGTACAAGTACAGTTTTGTTCATTAAGGAACAATTTAAATGTGCTCTCAAAGGTACAACAATCATGTTAAAGTCCAACTGTGTACCTTAATGAGTTTTTCCAGGTGAAACAAAACCTAATGTTTTCAAAAAAAAGAAAAATAAACAGCTCGAGACGAGGAGTCAGTGTTAATGGAATATGATGTCAATGTAAAATGATGTTCCCTTACTAAAGGTACTGAAGATGTACTCTTGAGGGGTACACTTATGACATAAGTTGTAGTTTTATGTACCAAAACCAGTCATAATTCAAATTTACTTGACCATTTTACAACCTCTCTTTACCCTTAAAATGAAATGAAATTTTGTTACTGTGCCTTTAGGACTGATATATGTAAATGATCTATATTCTGATTAGCTGTCCAGGCTGAAACACTCCTTATCACTTCAAGGTGAATGAGCAATGCTTAACTACTGTAGGTTAAATAGACTGATATATGTAAATGATCTGTCTTCTGATTAGCCATTCAGTCTAAAACACTCCTTATAACTTCAAGATGAATGAGCAGTGCTCAACTACTGTAGGCTGAATAGACTGATATATGTAAATGCATTGGTGTTTGTGATGTCACAATTTCCATATACAAACTATGTGGACTGGGGAGTGAGTTGTATATTTTGCAAGTGTTTATGTGGCACATCAAACTTATATTTCAGAAAAGCAAGGAAAATTCAGTTATGGACCCTTTTAAGTAGGAACGTGACTTGTGGGGGGGTGACAGTGGGGTCTGATACCAGTTGGCCCTGTTAGCAGGATCTTTTGTACTGTAGAACAGCTACCAGAGAAGTGAGCTTGTGAGTTGCCACAGCTTAGTCTCTTTGTTTTTTTTTGTTCACTGTATGTATAGATGGGATCAAAGGCTCTGCGTGTTGCTAATGGTGGTGCATAGCTAGAGGAGCAAACACATCTGTGCTACATTGTGCTTTTTATACACACAGTACAGAACCAGACAATTTGGTCATGAAGGTGTTTACTGCCTGTTTTCCATAGTTGTATGTCTGGAGGTGGTGTGGGAAATGTGTACTGCAATCATTATAAATTTCATCACAGTGAGTATGGCTAGTACTTCCAGAACACTGAACAACTGCATGGATCATACAAAAGACTCATATTTCAGACCACTTATAGAGAACTGTAAATAACAACCAGTATAATAGTAACTGCATAAACTACATAATAAAAAGTTACTGTAATCCCCTGACCTCTGTATTAAAGAGACTTGACTTCTCTTTCTGAGCGGCTCTGGTTTGGATCCAGGTGACGAGACATGAAGCACTGCTTTTGACTTTGGACTCCAGAGTTTTTTTTTTTTTTTAAAGAGAGTTTTTGCCCCTCAAAGATCTCCTATCTACTCAACACACATTCACACTTGCATACTTATTCACTCCTTCTGGTCAGCTTTTCAGATGTCAAGCAGAACAGCTTTCAGGCTGAAACGTGCACCACTTCTATGCTGGCAGTTACATAACTGGCTGGTGAATTACAGGAGCTCTGAACTGTTGGGATCAGCCTGTTGGGATACAAGCTAAATATATAGAATGTCGAAGAAGGAGTTGTTGCAGTCAGTGGTATGTGAATGGCTTTGTAGCCCACAGGCTTGTGAAATATTGATGCTGGCCATAAACAGTTATCACTGCCACTAAACACTCCCACCACATAATCTTTAGGAACATTGTTTATTTGTGTGCAGGGGGTTCTGTGTTTCTGTGTGAGCTGTAGTGTCACGTTGTATTGCGATGCATTTTTTTTCTTTTTTTCTTTTTTTTTTTGCCCCTCAAAATAAGATCTTCTTATTTTGAGGGGCAAAAATGCACACTTATTCACTCCATCTGGAGTCCTGTAGCTCTACAGAAATGACCAGCAGTCTGTTTTAACTGGAGGCTGTTGTTAAAATAGAGCTAGAGGGAGAGAGGTGAGGCAGGCCTGGCTGTGATGCCTCACTTGATCGTGCTGTCAGAAGCGAGACAGGATGGTGTCATAAAACTGTCATAACAAGGTAATAGGCACCTCTGAGGATATTCATAGCTTTGTCTGAAAAG